TAAAAAGAAAAAAATCTCAACAACACGTCATTACCACTGTCATCTAATCAAAGAGATCCCTCATGTTTATCTAACCTCACTAATTCAGAAAAAAGTGTTTGCAAGATAAAAAAATAAATATATATAAACATAGAGAAAAGATAAGAAAGGATATATATGAAATGAAATTCTCTTAACGCAGATTAAATTTTCGTTCATCATTAAATAGTTTAGTACAAAATGTAAAAAAAAAATGCAATATTTACACGTAATAAAAAGTATAGGTAGTGTGGCACCCTGCTAAATATTTGTCATATTTTTTAGTGTGATGTATCTTTTTTTTCAGTGTTACATTAAATTATTTGTGTTTACCTNGGTACATATACATACATGTATATTACTATATAGTGAACTCCTCACTGATGTTCGGTACATATACATACATGTATATTACTATATCATGAAATCCTCACTTATGTTCGGTACATATACATACATGTATATTACTATATAGTGAACTCCTCACTGTTGTTCGGTTCATATACATACTTGTATATTACTATATCATGAACTCCTCACTGATGTTTGGTACATATTCATATATGTATATTACTATATCATGAACTCCTCACTAATGTGCGGTACATATACATACATGTTTATTTTATAAAAAGAAAAAAATCTCAACAACACGTCATTACCACTGTCATCTGATCAAATAGATCCCTCATGTTTATCTAACCTCACTAATTCAGAAAAAAAGTGTTTGCAAGATAAAAAAATATATATATATAAACATAGAGAAAAGATAAGAAAGGATATATATGAAATGAAATTCTCTTAACGCAGATTAAATTTTCGTTCATCATTAAATAGTTTAGTACAAAATGTAAAAAAAAATGCAATATTTACACGTAATAAAAAGTATAGGTAGTGTGGCACCCTGCTAAATATTTGTCATATTTTTTAGTGTGATGTATCTTTTTTTTCAGTGTTACATTAAATTATTTGTGTTTACCTATCTTGCTATTGTGTGTGGATTTCAGAAAATCCGTACCGCGGCCGGTTTTCAGACTTACATTTTGTACTTTCGTTTTCAATATACGTGTAACGGTAATGTAAAGGCGGGTCTGTATTGTCTGTAACTGATCATTGCCGACTGGACACTGGCCTTAGACATGCGCAAGGCATTCTCTTTCTTTTTCCCGCTCTACACCGGTAAAATATGTATTCGCCCAGTCAGACTTTCGCCCGACGCTTGTACAATCTGTATTCGCCTTGTCAGACTTTCGCCCTACGCTGGTAAAATCTGTATTCGCCCAGTCAGACTTTCGCCCTACGCCGGTAAAATAAGAATTCGCCCTGTCAGACTTTCGCCCTTAGCTTGTAAAATCTCTATTCGCCTAGTCAGACTTTCGCCTTCCGCTTGTAAAATCTGTATTCGCCTTGTCAGACTTTCGCCCTACGCCGGTAAAATAAGAATTCGCCCTGTCAGACTTTCGCCCTTAGCTTGTAAAATCTCTATTCGCCTAGTCAGACTTTCGCCTTACGCTTGTAAAATCTGTATTCGCCTTGTCAGACTTTCGCCCTACGCCGGTAAAATCTGTATTCGCCAAGTGTTTATTTCATCCTTCACATTTCATCACTAGGTTTTACATGTTGTTTACTTATGTTCGCTCTTATGATAAACTCGCCCTCATTACAGAGGACGAAAAAGGCGAAGGTTGAACTGCGGCGAATATTTCCCAGTATACACGCAAGTTATATATATGTCGTTATATTGATGTCCGTTAGTCAGACAGCATTACTTATCGCAGACACGAGCCACTTTTTAAATATTGTATGTCGGCAAGTCTATATGATGTATAACAAGCTAAGAGTGATTGAGATAAATTCATCAAAGGTAAAAAGGCAAAGAGTACATTTACGTAAAGTCTATATATCTTTTATCATAAACTCCGAGTGGTGGCCACGCAATCTCATCTATACCGTTAAATTTGGTTATACCTACAAATAATCGTCCCATCTAGAAATACATTTCTGAGTCTAAGCATATAATTTCATACTTTTTGTAAGAACACTGCATATTTTGTCATTTCAAATGTGAGTCTTAACTTAGTCTATAGATTTGCGTCTTCGGTAATATGGCTGCTATATTTGGTCTGTAGATTGGCTGCTGTACTTGGTCTATAGGTCCGCAAGTTCAGTATTGGCCTGTTAATTGTTGTACTTGACCTGCATCTCCTGAAGTTCGGATTTGAATCTTGTCAGTTTTTAATAATCTACCTCATTGAGGATTCATCATGAAAATGTTTCTTTCGAGTTAATGTATCGCCGACTTGAGCTCGTATACAATAGAAATGCGGTGCACAACAAATTGTATGTACGGGTTTCTGAGCATTCTAATAAACATCAATATTTTTGTTATTTCATAGACTTTATTTGCGAATCTATAAACCACATGTAAATCAATTGTTTGCGAGACGAAAATATAAATGTTGAAGATGTGTCGTCGTTTAATAACTAAGAAAGTGAAATGGTTCATTATACTTAACGTGAACTATTACCAAACGCTGACGACATACAGATGATCCCTTTCCACGTTTTCCGTATAAGGCTTCCTTCTCAAATAGCTAAATTACCGGATGAAGGGTGCTACATGTACACCTTCCGCTTCAATCGGGAACCATCAGCACTTTCCGTAAACGAAAAAAATGATGCGTTTACGGAAATTGCCGACGGTTCCCGATTGCTTTCGCTTGTGTTTTTAGCAATATTCAAATTTTGTATAAGCTTAAGTGTTGACTATTCGAGAAACAAAAATATGCATTCCGTTTGCTCTGTACATTATGAGTCAAATAGCGGTTGGAGAATCAAAAACGCAGTGGGAACCCTAAAACATGTTATTGGTTCTGCCGAAAGAAGGACGGGCGAACGAGTGAACGGAAAGGCGCCATATCAGAATGTGTCTTTTTTTTTAATACGTGCTAATCAACTTTCAACCGGTTCAAATATAAATGTGGTGGAGATTACCATTTGAACAACCCAACACTTATGGGATCTATTGAAGAAATCCTCGTATGTTCAATTTTTATCATGGTTCCTTTTGGCACGTACAATGGAGCTTGGTACGAAATATTTTTGGCCGGATTGCTTTTCGTTACCGGTGACCAGGTCAAAGGGAGATAACTGCACATATACTTGTGAAATTCAAATGTGCTGCTGTTTTAATTTCAATTTGCACTAGGGTTCGACACACTGCGCAAGACATGTGTCGCTTGTCCAGATTTTAACTCCTGAGAGAAAAATATTTCAGCAATAATATATTTAATCCCGTCTACATCGCAGAATTTCATGTACTCTATTTTCGTTGTTTTTTCAATTTCTGACTGAAACATATACCGTGGGCCCGTACTTATGGAACCGTTCTCATGCTCAAGCATGCTTTTGTGTTTAAGCCTAATTTCTTGTTCCGGTTATAGATAAATACAAAAAAAAATTTTGTCAATGATTTGGAAAAATATTAAAGGCCGTATACTGTTTCCAATGTTTACATTTGACTTTTGATCGTTTGACATGATTTGAGTGAGTTACAGGAAAACTGGTTTGAGGCCGTGCCTGAGCATGAGAACGGTTTCATGAATACGGACCCAAGTGTCTCTTATGCCGTGTCGGATTTAAGTGGAATATTCTAAGGTAAACATATCCTGTCGCTATTAGTCCCGAATTCAACTCCTACTAGAATCACTCACTGCCGCTTGTCCAGGGTTCGACTTATAACAGAAGACATTTTGATACGTACCATACACATTATCACCAACGTGGTATAACCGGTTGACTTTTAAGGAAAAAGACAATAACATGACGTCATGATCGGTAAAATAGAGATACCAACTTGTGGCGTCACTTATCTGTTGCTAAGCTGCTTAGCAATCGGCGACGGCGGAGATGATCAGTCTCTCCCCTGATATTTACTTCTTTTGTTTAAATCTTTGATTACCAAAATGAATGTCAAGTTATTCTTGATATTTGTGGTAATGATGTGCGCCATGCACCAAGGGCCTGCTGTATATCGGGACCTTACGTGGTAAGTTTGGACCAGACAAGGTAGGATGATATGTTAAATGTTAGGCCTATTCTTTGATTTAACAATACGCAAAGACCTCACGGCGCTCAAATAAGTGTTAACAACTTATTTGATATTAAGAATGTGTTGACATTGAATGTTTAAAAATAGTTAATCTTAATTTTGTAATTTTACCACTGTAGTGTGGAGCCCGAGCCAGGATATGCCAAAAGATTGTTTTATTATTTCAACGCTGGAGAAATTGTGAAAGTCTGTCCAACGGTTGCCGATCTGACATCGGTAAGGATTACATATTTGTTATTTTAATGAATGTTATGAAAATGTCAACACTTTTTTTTACTGATAATTAAGTAAGATTATGTTTGGGATGATGCTTATAGGATTCTTCTTCTCACACAGTTACACCTATCATAGTGATTTTCAGAACTGTCAATGTAAACATTCTATCGAGGATACATATGACTTCTTTTTTATTTGCAATAATTATGCGGATCAGAGATTTAAATCATTTGACCTGCAGACATTATTTTAAGGTATTAATGAATTGTCCTATCAAGAAAACATTCTAATAGCCAAACAGACGCAGCAATTTATTCTAGATACTAACAGATTTTGAGTATATTTTCTTGCACTCCTTCATGTTTACCAACTAAATCGAATATCTCTCTCTCTCTCTCTCTCTCTCTCTCTCAATTAAAGCCAACGTAAACATATATGTTGTATAATATCTTGAAAATTTGTATTAATATATTGAAGGGAAATGGCTTAATATAAGTTGTTAAACGTGTGCCCAACTCCCAATGTATATAATTTACAATAAAATATATTTAATATGATATAGCTGTGTGTATTTCGCAATTTTTATCTCTCGCCGGCTATGCTTTAATTGCGTTCAGTTGGCGCAAAAACGGTTTTCTTGTCCGGTGTCGGTATCTTAGGAATTTGCGGGTCAGGAACATTGAATGATTGTATCATAGTACAATTTCCAGAAAGCATTTACGATTTTTTTTAGCGAATTGGGAATGAGGTATTCTGTTATCTGCTGTGTGTGCTTCTAACTCTGCTGTTGGGCTATGCGCCGTCGATCGGAAAAGTCGTCAAAGAGAAATGGTCAGCCGCCGTGTCAATGTTCCAAGAATGGAGAGCTCGTAAGTAACCAGCGAAAGTTAAAATATTGAATAAAGCAGCAGTTTTCAGTTCTAGTTTTCTATTTACCTTTTAATTACGACGTTTTCGAAAAATAATGTACCTTTCTATGAACCTAGTTTTGTCAAACTACCTTAACGTGCCACCTTCCGGATGATACACGTTTGCTAGCTTGGAAACCTCTCAGACTAATGTTTTGATTAAATATTGCAGCGAATTGTTTGGTAACGTACAGTGTAGTTGTGAAATTAACAGGCTTTAATTTCAAAGTAGCTCTGTGATAATCTTTGAAGTACGGGTACCACTTTCCTGCAGCCTTGTACTTGGTTAGACTTGGATGTCTAGAACCAGTCAGAAAGCTTACTATCAGTCCTCGATTCTGTTCTGATAAAATCTCAGGATGCATAGAAAGTAATGTTTTGTGTGTCGAAAATGTAAACCTTGACTTTCGGAAACTTGTAGTAACAAACATGTCTGTTTGTGCAGGTCCTTCCATCTGCCGTCACTGCGGTACTGCCCCGTGCCAGGTCAAAAGGAGGTCCTTGTGGAAGCCCACCGGATCTTGTAAGAGAGACAAGGCGAATTTCGCAAAAAGGTCAAACGCCATGATGTTGTTTTACTATGGACTAGAGTTGTCCATAGTACTTACAAAAGAGCTGCCATGGAATGACCTGCACTGGGAGAGGAAGTTCGTCCAGCATTTTGAGGAGGAGCATATGGTATTGTTCCCAGTGTGCATCCAGCGTCAGATTGACTACTGGTACCCCGTCCCTCGCTAGGTATGTAATCTGACTCTCAACAGGTTCTATATGTCCCTTGCTAGGTTGGTGTTATGTCCTTATCTAGGTATTCTGTCCCTTGCTAAGTTGGTACTATATCCCTCCCTATGTAATTTATCCCTCGCTAAGAACATTGTCACTCACTAGCTCTTATGTCCCTTGCTAGGTAGGTACTCTTTCTTTCTAGGTACTCTGTTCTCTGCTAGATTGGTGATATGTCCCTCGCTAGGGACATTGTCACTCACTAGGTGCTATGTCCTTTGCTAGGTAAGTATACTCTTCCTCTCTATAGGTACTATGTCCCTCACTCGGTTGGTACTATTCCCTCTCTAGGTAAAATGTCCTTGCTAGGTTGGTATTCTGTTCCTCACTAGGTACTCATTCCTCACTATATGTAGATTACCTTTTCATCGCTAGGTACATTCCTCCCTAAAATAAAAACATAAGGATATATATATCTTATTTTGATTAATCAATTTAATGCAAATAATTTAAATTAATTTCCCTTGATGTATGTCCATATTACAATACATGGCAACAATATCTGCATTGGAGAACGGACAGATTGTGCATTTAGTTGACATGAAATTTGGTAATTTATTTTATCTATTTATTTCATTGCAGAGTCGTTGCGTCGTTCAAAGGGAAGAATGTGAATGCCAATCGGTGATGGAATAGAAGTTGGAGGATTGACGTCACAGCCTCGATTTGGCTGTCTTAGGGTTTTTGTCACGATTAGTTCCAATAGGAATGGTTTTTGACCAGTGATACAGTGTAATTATATTGTTTATTATATTAATTAAAATGTCCAGGTGTAGCTTTGTGGTTGCAGATTGTTAGTAAGCTGATGAAGAACTTTCGAATAGTGTTGTTGCCCAGCAGTGGTCCAATTTATAAATTTTCGTTTTTTTATTTTTTATTAAATTGGTTAGTTGAAAAAATGTTTCAATTGAATTACCAACATGCAAAGTTCTGTCCATTTTGTACTGGTCAGTTTTGCTTTTGTGTACTTTGGTTAGTAACAATCATGTAATCAATAAAATATCTTCAAATTGATTTTCGTGTGTATATTATATTTTTGTAACCGTCGTTGTAAAAATGTCATAGATTCGTAAAAACGTATGAAATGTCATACATTGAAATGAGACTGAACTCAAATTACCGACACCTCGGCCCGTATTAATTAAACCGTTCTCATGCTCAAGCATGCATTGTGTGCTCAAACTAACTCTGTTACTCGCTTAAATAATGTGACACGCTCAAAAAAGTCAAATGTTAACATTGAAATGATGTTGGGTTTTAAGACTCCATAATTCTTCCAAATCATATTAACTAAATGTGAATTGTATTCATCTATCACCGGAACAAGATATATGGCTTGATCATAGAATCTGACTTTGAGCATGAAAATATTTCCGTGAATACTGCCCGTGGATTTGCGGACCCCTCACAGCATCGTTGAATTATTTGTGTTTACTTATCTTGTTATTGTGTGTTAATTTCGGAAAATCCGTACCGCGGCCGGTTTTCAAACTTACATTTTATACTTTCGTTTTCAATATACGTGTAACGCAGCATATCCACAGTAGGCCCGGGTAATGTAGAGGAGGGTCTGTATTGTCTGTAACTGGCCATTGAAGACTAAGACATGCGCAAGGCATTCTCTTTCTTTTTCCCGCTCTACTCTCTCTGTCTATATCTTTACTTCACTAAAGCTCTATAATTTGAAGGCGTCAGATCAATCTCCATCTCTCTAGGAATATTTTGTTAAAAACAAATGCATCATCTTTGCTACATTTTTCTATGTCCTCAGCACCACATGCAGGGTAAACAAATTTATTTTTTATTTCATTTAATTGAAGTTTCTAGTCATATTTTTCCTTCGTTAATTCCATCACGATAACTTCATCATATGTCGCTATGGCCATGTAATTGTTTTGACAGACAAAAGACAGTCAGTTTCATTGTAACGTAAATTGTAAATGTAATTTGAATAGTATGTTTCATACTTGCTGGTGTTAAATATGCCAGGATGGTAATTTTGTGATTGATACAACGTACATGTTGATGCTGTGTACAAATGTACAAAGTTTTAATTTGCGATCATTTTGCGCCATTATTCTAGGCGTGGTCGAATAGGAATTATTTGTAATACTTTTTTTTATCAGAATTCAAAGACTTCGCCTGGTTTTTGAAATGCCGCAACCAACCCTAGCTTCACATACTATACAAGAGAGAGAGAGAGAGAGAGACAGAGAGAGAGACAGAGAGAGACAGAGAGAGAGACAGAGAGAGAGACAGAGACAGAGAGAGACAGAGACAGAGAGAGAGAGACAGGGACAGAGAGACAGAGACAGAGAGACAGAGAGACAGAGACAGAGCGACAGACACAAAGACAAAGAGACAGAGCAGAGACAGAGACTGAGAGAGAGAGACAGAGACACAGCGACAATGACAGAGACAGAGACAGAGAGACAGAGACAGAGACAGAGAGACAGAGACAGAGACTGAGAGACAGAGACAGAGACAGAGACAGAGAGACAGAGACAGAGACAGAGAGACAGAGACAGAGACAGAGAGACAGAGACAGAGACTGAGAGACAGAGACAGAGACAGAGACAGAGAGACAGAGACAGAGACAGAGAGACAGAGACAGAGACAGAGAGACAGAGACAGAGACAGAGAGACAGAGACAGAGACTGAGAGACAGAGACAGAGACTGAGAGACAGAGACAGAGACTGAGAGACAGAGACAGAGACAGAGAGACAGAGACAGAG